TTTTTTTTTTTTTTTTTTTTTGAGTTTTGTGACTGATGAAAGCAGAAAGAAAGAAGGGGTACAAGAACGGCGGTGTAGTGGCATGGCAAGTTGCAAAGCAAGTGAATTGTATATTACTTGATTAGATGCTGAAATTAGGCGTAATGTAACAAAAACTGTACAAGAAGAAAAGGTGAAAAAAAAAAAATAATAAAAGGAAAACTTTTGAATTGTACATGTTGATGAGTTGAGGGTAATAGGGGACATGGGTTTCCAGAAATATCAGAAAAAAGATTTGTTTTTTGTGATTAATTTTGATGGTGTGTATTTGGGGTAATGATAATGAGATATATTTTGTGAGATTGTGATGAATAATAATAAAAAAGAGGGGGGAGGGGGACCCGAAGGAGCCAAGAAAATGTGAACAAGTTGATAATGAGACATTTGTCCAATAAAGTAAGAGGCTGGTTGGCAAGTGGGAAGTGTGTACAGTGTACATACCCACAACATTACATTACTTGGATCGCTTCTAATCTTAAAACCCTTCTCATGAGTACGTCGCTTTTGGAACGGTCAACTTTACATGTTTGTTTCATTGTTTGTGGCATCATTCTGCAGAATCCCAAACTCAGATTTTGCTCCACACATGTTATTTATTGCCAACACCAATATTGTTTCCAAAACCACGATTCTTCGAATATGCTACTACTATGCTATTGCGTACCATAATTACCATTCTTATTGCACATTGTTTCACATTATTATTTCTAATTCTTACCTTGTCAAGTGTTTAAGCATTGCTTCAAAGATTAAATTACCTGTCCTATATATATATATATATATATATATATATCCTTTTATGTCCTTTTCCTCTCGTCAAATTTCGGAAAGAATAATGTTGCAGATATCAGATAACTTATCCGTATTCCTTCAAAATACAACATATTCTCGTGTTTTTATTCTTCATTATATTCTCTATAGACGATGTGCTTTTGGAATAATCAATGAACTTTTGGTACAGTTTTTGTGGGTGTTGGCATGTTGCTTACAATGTTGGGAGTAAATTCAACACTGCATAAAATAAATCTAATAAATGTTGAGGCTCTGTAAATAACTTAGACATTCATAATGTATAAATTAAAGTATGAATTGAAGATCTAATGGAATTTATTTATATTTATTAAAAATTTCCCTCTTTTCCAAATCGAATGCTTTTCATCTCTCAATTTTAGCTTCAGACGCGTTGAATTCTACATGCATAACAACAACAATTATAATCCATTTGTTATTTTGAAAAAAACTAAAGTCAACACTACTCTAAATATGCATTATTATGTCGTTGAGGTTACTTAAATATATGTGTGTTAATAATAGTTCATTGTGCATTGCTTCTTTTCAGAAAAATTCAAAGCATCTCAATAGTCAAATCACTATCCACAAGTGGATGCATAGAAATCAAAATGGACCAAATTAATTTTCGATGTGTTTTTTTTTTCTTGGCAAACTACACCTATATTGATTCATTAATATATGCATATAGTGCTTAGCTATTGTTATATACGAATGTTGGACTTCATCTTAAATATTATAGGCTTCGAATCATACCTATAGCCAGTCTCAATTCAATTAATTATATGAAATTAATGATATACTATTGCTTGAATATGTGCATCTAATAAAAAGATTTCAAGAAACCATTACAACTTGATACCATGATTCTTGTGAGCAGTAATGAACCTACATTATTGTGAAACTTTAATTAAATTATTAGCATATATTTAAAATATTATATTTTATATCTCTAATTTTATATATTAAATTTAATATTAATGATTATTTTTTATATTTATATTTTATTTTTATATATATGATGATGATCATTTATTTTTATTTTCTTAAAAAAATTATACTCACGAATCTTGGATCTACCATTTGTTGTGTGAGATAATTTTTTTACACTAAAAACTTATTAGTTAATAGTATTTTTTTCATTAATTAGAAAGCATTTTATTTATTTCACAATACAAATTAATTAAATGTTGTTATAGCATTTGACAATTAAGTTTGGAATACCAACTTTCTTGCTAGTTAAACGTTGACAATGTTAATTTTTGCCTAAAAATACCGTTGACAATGCCATAGTCAAACCAAAGATTGTGAATAAGCACCTACGTCATTGGTTAAAGTTGACAAAGCTCCAACATTTATATTTTATTTGATAAATCGAAAATTTGCCACAGATAGTAGATGATAATACAATGCATAGTTTTAAGTTGAAATTTATTTTAATTAATTTTGTAATGAATAATGATGAATTTGCCAGCACCTTCCTTAGGGTTTCCACGCAAGCAGTTCACGGGTCCTTAACAACAAATGTTGTCTTGTTTTATTAGGATTTTTAATCACTTAATTCTGCACTTCATGTCCTGCCACATGTTACAATACATCATCATGCTATGATATATTTTCTTTGAATTCAGTAGAATAATACACATAATTAATAATTGATTAGACAACTCTCAACAACCATCAAGGACAACCCTTATAATAAACAAAAACCAGCTGAAAATAATACACACATGTACACTAATTACTGCATATTTTTAAAAGTTTTTTTTTTATATATATATTGTGTTAAGAATGCAAAAATATTTATCAAATGATTGGTTTTTACTGAGAAACCTCATCAACCGTTTTTAGTAAAAGCTTTCACTACTCACAATTTTTAAAACCAGAATTTAAAAAAATCTGAACTCAATTTCTCCTTAACAAGGCTGATAAAAAAATAAGAAAATAAAAAAGAATAATTTTCTAGGAATGACTATTAATACTTATATTTTTAAAATTCTTAAATAAACTGAATCAATTGTACGGACCGATGTTTGTAGACGCAATACGTGTTTATATTGAAATTGGAATAATTCAATTGTCCGGACAAAAGATGCAAGGCAATGTGTTCGAATCATACTTTTAAAAACCGGACCGGTCATCGAACTGGTTAAGGTACTGGGTCAGTGGGTTAAAGGTTGAACCGGTGGGTCACTAGTTGAACCGCATGACTCGATTTTTATTTATTTTTATTAAAAAAATATTCATATTAAATAATTTTATACTTATAAATTCTAATAAATTTATATCTTATTTTAAATTTCAATTTTTCTATCTTATTTAAAATTATTTTTATTTTTATTTTGTAAAAAAATATATAAAAAAATTACATGTTAAACTGTATATTAATACAAATTAAAAATATAAATAATATGTACATATATAATATGCTTGCAATTGATATCACAAAATAATATATGTAAATGTTCTTACCGGAAATCTGCTGTGGAGCTGATCCGCCGAGTAAGATCGACGAGCCTCCTTCACTGATACGCTGATGCTCCAAGATGGGGGTGGTACCTGCAAAAGAGACTCTGATGCTAAAGTTAGGATTTGCACGAATAATAGTCTCATATATATAATGTACGTACCTTGAGGTGATTTAGGGTTGCTTTGGGCCTTGGGCCTGAGATCCCCGGGTTCCGGTGTGATTAGCCCGGGCTCCGGGCTGTTATTGTTCGGTGCGTGCCCGGATGCGGAATGCGGTCAGTACACTAGCCCCCCGAGCTCCGAAAGCCGTAGGTTGAGGAGTTAAGACCGGGCTTGCTAGAGAGGGAGTGACTTAGTGCGTGCATTAACTGGAGCTTCGCCACATGGCGTGGCTGTTCACTTCTGAACCGTGCGGGCGGCGCACTAGAGGAGGTGGCGGTTATGCAATTGATGGCTTGTATTTAATGTTTTGTCAGGCGTGTCCCTTGGTCGACACGTGGCCTGACAGTTTTGAATTTCGGGGAGAGACTTTTTCTTTTCTCGCGCCTTTGCCCTTTTCACTTTACTCTTTTTCTGTCTTTCAGCTTCTTGCTCACGTCTCGTCTCTGCTTGCCCCTCGTTTCCGTTTTCTGTCATTTTCTTTGTGTTTTCTTGATGGCTGGTGGTTATGGCGGCAAGTCTTCTGCCCCCGCTAGGGGTAGGGTACGTGGCAAGGCGGTGGTCGCCGCTGAGGCAAAAGGGGTACCTCCGTCCGGAGACTCAGAGCTGGGCATTCC